GTATTTACTTGTGGCACCGCGGTGGGTCGGCGGTACCGAAGTGGGCCGGTCGAGAGTCCCGGGCTGATTTGTAGTCCCAGTCTGCCCCTGGCAGTGGGTCAAACTGTGCATTGTCTCTCCCACTTAAAAAAAAATACAGTTTTTGCCAAGAAGGTGAGGCTTATTAACAGGGCGAGATATAAATATATTGTTGGTACTTGTCAATGTCTCTAGGTGTGTGAATGTAGCCCTGTAAATACGATGTCCTTTTGTGTTATCTGTTGTTTTATGTTCATGTTGTAACCTACTTGCTGCCATGTTGGACAGGTATCTCTTGAAAAAGAGATCGATGATCTCAATGGGACCATCTGGTTAAATAAAGGTTTAAAAAAAAAAAAGTGTTTAAAAAAATAATATATATATTTTTTAATTAATTAATTATTTTTTAATCGCGGTAGATTTTGTCAGTCTCACGACGGTATTGGAACGTTTATTTGCCGCGATACCGCGATATTCGGTATATCGTTACATCCCTAGTAAGAATTCTTAATGTGTGTCGGAACAAGCAGCGAGCACACACACACAGAACATTTAGTTCTAGTTTAAGTGTAAATATTACAGTAATAGTGTACTTGTACTGTGTGGGGAATACTGCGAAAATAAACAATAGGTTTATCGATCTTTTTTTTATCGATAGTCATGAACTTTTTCTTGGGACAAAATAGACTCTCCATTAGTAAACGTTTACTCTGTGTAAACGTTTTTTCATGTGTAAAAGTGTGGTTACATGTGTAGATTAATAAAATAGTCCTTTATTCGTCCCAGACATTTATAGTGGCTATAGACATGTATTTTATCACACTGTTCTGTACAGATGAGACTTTGTCATATCTATTTATATGTGTGTCTGTGATGTTATACTGAATGTAAAGTAATTGGAAATACCTGTGTGAGAGAGAGAGAGAGAGAGAGAGAGAGATACTCCTGTCCCACCTCCCCAACTTTCTTTTTAGTTGTTCATTGTTATTTGTGCTTGAGCAACAGTTCACTTGAACTTAGTTGTAATTATTGTCCTACTTTTTCTTTTGTTTTACAGAGAGGTTTCACAGCTGCCTGGGCCTAGTGGCCCACAGGCGGCATTTATCCAGCAGCCAGAACCTCCATCTGTGCCTTCCCCCAGGTCAACATCTACCGTTCCTCAAGGGCCTTCAACACTGCCATCACCACCAAGGACCAGCGGACCAGCATCACTACAGCTGCCTCTACCTCCATCTGTTCCTGCCACCAGGTCAAGATACACCTCTGCACAAAGGCTCTGCCACAGCCATCACCATCAACCCAGCCAGCAAGGAGGTCTCGTATAGCACCCGTACCTCCAACACAGCCACCAGCAGCCCAGCAGCCCATTTCCAGTTTCTTAGATTTATATAAATAGTTAGTTTTAAAAAACATATTTATAATAAATTGTTGGTTTATAAATATGTTTTGCATCACATGAGCCTTTGTATGGAATATGAAGTCATGAATCAGTCCTGATGTATCTCAGTCCCTGCTGTGGTGAAAGTAGAGTGATAGACAACTATTTTACAAAAAATTCGAATTTACACATTTTCATTTTAGACATGAAGGACACATGTATATACAATGTAATTCATATATTTCACTACTTTTGTGAACCAAAGACTTTGGTAAACCAAATCTAAAACACCCAAAAAATTGGATGACGAGTACATTTGTGTTTTGAAAATCTGATTCTCAGCTTTAGAGCTAATTATCTCATCTGCTCTAAGATGAGTGACTTACATTTCTAGCAAGACCAGAGACTGTCCTGAACATTTTGATATGTAACACATGGGGTGCCACATTATAACAAGTACATTTAAAAGGTGATTTAAGAAAACATCTAAATATCGAGAAATAATTTGAGGGTTAATAATGATACCTTCACACTGGAGTCTCTTTGTCTCATTCTGAAGCTACTGAAGATGGGAAATGGAGTTAGGGATCTCACCTGTGCCATCAGTATGCCGATCACTACACCCAGTTGATGCAGAGTTCCTAATGCTCCGCGGATAGATGTGGGTGAGATTTCCTCCACATATATGGGCACAAAGCCAGTTGATAGGCCAGAGTAGAGACCCACTATGAAGCGCCCAATGATGAGCATCTCATAGGAGGCAGCCAGCTTGGAGAAGCCCATAAACGCAGCGGCAATAAAGGCTAGCACATTGGCCATGAGCATGGAGTTCTTCCTTTAGAGATATAAGAGTATATATTATTCGTCTTTTTAAAAGTAAAGTGTGATTAATAATCTTTTTGGTCATAGGAAGGAGTCTTACCTGCCAAAGCGATTGACAAAAAGGCCGACTGAGAAGGAGCCGAACATTCCTCCCACAGAGAAGATGGCCACAGAGAGCGACCACAGAGCGGTGAGAGTGCTCTGAGGGATGGGCTCTGAAAACCTGCTGCTCCATGTTTCATTGTAGAAGCCCTGAATGATCTGAAGCACAGAACCACAAGCAGGTCTCAATGTGTAAATAGACAGATTTCCACTACACTCCCGGCTGAAATCAATATTAGTGACTTTCCCTGTAGCACCATCATCAGGTAGCTATTTTATTTTTCAGAATGAAATATCTCAACAACTTTTGAAAGATTGTCGTGCCATGTCAGAGGATGAATCATACACACTTTGATGATGCTTTTACTTTTCCTCGAGCACCACCTACAGGTCAAATGTTTAACTCTCCAATAATTTGGTCAATAAATAGATTCCAGTTAGTACTAACATAGCACTGATTTGCTAATACTATCATAATTAGGGCCGGGACTCGATTAAAAAAATTAATCTAATTAATTAGAGGCTTTGTAATTAATTAATCAAAATTAATCGCATTTTTAATCACATATAAATATTTGACCTGAGAACAGTGAGAAGCAATTTTTTTCACATGGATTTTAGTATACCATTGAATAATGACTGAATACATAAGCTTAAGCAACAAAACATTGTTTATTTTTTTCAAGGTGGTACTTAACCAAGACCAACAGAAAAGTGCAATTTTTGCCATAAAGTGTAGCAATAGCATATTTAGGAATATAGTACATTTCAGAGATTCAGGTAGCCTATAGGTAGGTAGACCTTCTGTAAACTATAACACTTTGTTTTTTA